TGGTCGGCGCATAGCATTGGATGATGTTCATTGTAATGCCCTCTCTCTTTGTTCTGAAGGAGGCTTTGATGATCCTCGGTCCATGAGATTCCCATCCTATAAGTGCATTTTGTGCTTTTCTAGACAGCATCAGTGCCACTCCTTGTGTATGTGGGGCATTTTCTTCTTCATGACCGGAGTATAACAGAAGTTCCCCTGAAGACAGTCGTTGTTGTCCAACCTGCGTCCAATGTGTTTCACTGATTCCAAGCACTTCCAGGTTGTATTTCCTCATTTCCGCAGAGATTTGGAAGACTCTGCCGGTCTCCCACATTGTCCGGACATTCCATGTACCTATAAAAATTGTCGCTCTGGTTGTAAGAAGGTGCATCGGCCTCATGACTTCCGAATGAACTCGGCTTTCATCATGAGACGTCATTTTTCCTTCTACTCCCAGGGCAGAGTTTGAATGGTTTGAATGAATTTTTCTGGTTAGCGTTTTTTTAGCGAGTTGATTTTCTACGGGATGGGGTCGCTAACCCCATGCCCAACCCTCCTCCTTTACCCGAGCTTGGGACCGGCAGTAGCCCCTGGAGGAGCTACAGGCGGAGTTACATTGGTGAATGGTTGATAAATTTCATGGATTGGTTGAAGTTAGACATTAACACCGTTGGATGCCGGCTCAGTAGTATGGAGATTAGGCGCTCACGCGCAAGACTGACAGGTCCTGGGTTGGAATCTCGCGAGTAGGGATTGTGGATACAAACTGCCACTGAGAAGTCACACACTAGGATGAAACGGCCTTCCAATGCTTCTAGGTTTTCTATGGTGATTTAGCTTCAATTGACTCATGATTTCAACTATGAAAAAACATCAAACTCATTTAACCTTATTTTTCAAGTTGATAAATTCAATATAAGTAGTGAAACATCAAGTACCTATTCATAAGCCTAAGTTAGAAATATGCCCAGATACATACACACATAAACACACGTACATACATACGTACCGAACTACTTATGTAGAATTAAGTGAATTTGAAAAAAAGGAGAAGAAAATACCCTATGGATATATTTAATCAAATAATATGAAGAATAATCAATATAATCTATGATTGTAATATAGTGTCAGTTGCTATGTCAAGACTACATAATTTATTATGACTTTCAGACCGATTAGTTTATTCATTCTACTCAAGCTACATAGTGATCATATATAGTTGAGATCGTGAGTCGATTGAAGCTAGAACATCATGGAAAACATGGAAACAGTGGACGGCCTTTTTGTCCTATTGTGGGACTCCTCAGTGGCAGTGCGCATCTACGATCCCGCCAAGCGAGATTCGAAGCCAGGACCTACCAGTCTCGAGCCAGAGCACTTAACCACTAGACCACTAAACCGGTTGCCATCCAACGGTGTTAATGTCTAAATTCAACCAATCCACGAAATTCGCGTTACCAATTTCGATTGTACCGAGGTAGATACCTGTCTCTATCTGACATGGATTAGCTCCACTGGTCACGACTTCTCACTAGAACTCCAGGAATTACCTCATGGGGCCAGTCACCATTGAGTATATGATATTGTATCAGAAGGGATCTTTGTCATCTATTCGCTTATTAACCCTGACTGTTTTATTTGAGTATATATGGATTGATTAATTACTCTATTTATCATGTGTCTGTAACTTACTTTTGTCTGACTATAAATATCAACTCGCGTTTGATTAAATTGTGTTGGTTTACTTACCTTTTCCACTGCGCGTCATTTCGTTTCGCTTCGTTTCTTTGATTGTCTGTCCAGATCAAAGATTGTTTGAAATATTCATATTCGATATTGATTCTCCTTTTTGATTTATTTACTTCTGTTATTCACTTACACACACACACACACACACTTAGGCCTGTTACCCTCAATCAGGTATTAAGTCGGCAATTTTGTACGATAATTGGCGACATGTATATTTCAATAACAATCATTCATTCGATTTAACTGAAGTAACATTTCGAATTACAAAGGTTTTTGTTAGTGGTCCTGGTTAACTAGTTGTTACGACTTAGTACTAGTTATAATTTTGATGAACACAAGTAATATTGTAGTGAAAACAGGAACACGGGTAAGGATAATCTTATGTATTTGAATATCAAATAATAGGACATCTTGGTAAAATCTAAGAACCACACAATAAATACTTCATTTGCAAAATGTCAATCAATCATCTCACACTTCACTGTTCATTTATTTCCACAATGATCATTCTCTATCCTCGTTCTCTTCCCTTCGATCTTCTTAAACTTTTGCCACTAGGTATTTGACATTCGATTGATGATGCATACTACTTATATCTGTCGATATCAGTAGCACACACCACAATATGACAAACATTATATGGATCAAATGGAAGCTTAGAAATAAGAGTCCAAGAGTCTACTAATTATCAATAATCTTTCATATGGTAGACTCAAAAAGTTCTACATCTATACTATTCAATACAACCCATCAATCACAAACTTATTGAGGAATTAAAATGATCTATTCACCGACATCATTTTGCAATTGTTTGATTGATATTTCTTCAAAATTTATTAGGTGAAATAGACAAAACAAATAAATTTTATGGTTGAAATCATGAGTCAATTGAAGCTAAAACACCATAGCAAACCTAGAAGCGTTAGAAGGCCGTTTCGTCGTATTATGGAACTCCTCAGCAGTGCTCATCCATTATCTCGCCTCACGAGATTCAAACCCAGGACTTATCAGACTCGCACACAAACGCTTAATATCTAGACCATTGAACTGGTCGTCATCTGACGTTGTTAACGTTTAGCTTCAACTAATCCACGAAATTGAGCAACCATTCACCAATGTCTTTAGTGAGTTACTATCTCAAAACAGACCTAGTTTAACTCCACTGATGGCCGCTTTGCACTAGAACTCCAGGAAATACCTCTTGAAGTCAGTCACTAGTGAGCATATGTTTAATAATATCAGAAGGGGTTTTGTGGAGATTTTAGTAATTTTGTAGTTGAGATCATTAGTCAATTAAAGCTAGTCGACCATGGAAAACCTCGAAGCACTTGAAGGCCGCTTCGTCCTATTGCGGGACTCCTCACTGGCAGTGCCCATCCACGATCCTGCCTCAGAACATTCGAACAATGGCAGACCAACGGTTATATAGTTAGTATCTCAGTCGAAATTAACACTACAAAATAACGCTTACAAAGACTAAACTGAAAATAAAGCATAAAAATACTGATTTGCCTTTCCGAAAATAATAACTAACTTTTAATTATAAACAAAGGTAAATGGTGGCTAGCATTGAAATCCCGGACGTGCGTTTCATCTTATTTGGGAATCGTCAGTTGGATGTATTTACACCCTAGAACTGATGTTCACTCCATCTTTGTTTATAATGCTTGTGATCTAAGGCAATATCAAAATAGTCCGTATAGGATACATATATACCAATAACAGACTGATCAACTGTAGTCCAAAAAAATCAATGGAAAGATTTAAACAAACAATACAGTTGTCTATCGTTTACGTGCTCTGGAGCGAGACTGGTAGGTCGTGGTTTCGAATCTTGCGAGTGCGGGATCGTGGATGCGCACTGCTGAGGAGTCCCACAACAGGACGAGACAGCCATCTAGTGCTTACAAGTTTTTCATAGTGGTCTAGCTTCAATTGACTCAGGATTTCAACTATAAAAATACTAAATTCTCTAAAAAATCCTATTTGATAGTTGATTATATTGTTTAACCGATATCTATAGTACTATTGTGATGTGTACTACTGATATCGACAGATATAAGTAGTATGAATCATCAATTTAAAGTCAAATACCTGGTGTCAAAAGGTTAAGAAGATCGAAGGAAAGAGGACGAGGATAGAGAATGATTGCTGTGGAAATAAAGGAACAGTGAAGTGTGAGATGATTGATTGACATTTTACCAATCAAGTATTTATTATCAGAAGGGGATTTAGTATTTTCATAGTTAAAAACGTGAATCAGTTGTAGCTAGACCACCACTAATGACTGACTTCGAGAACTAAATCCAGGAGTTCTTGTGACAAGCAGTGGCCAGTGGAGTTCAAACCACGTCAGTTATGAGATAGAGACTCATTGAAGACAATTGGTGAACGGTTGCTCAACTTCGTGGATTGATTGGAATTAGGCATAAACACCATCGGCTCAGTGGTCTATCAGTTAAGTGCTCTGGCGAGAGTCTGGTAGGTCGTGGGTTCGAATCTTGCAAGGCGAGGTCGTGGATGGGCACTGCTGAGGTGTAGCACAATAAGACGAAACGGCCGTCCAGTGCTTCCAGGTTTTCCATGGTGGTTTAGCTTCAATAGACTCACGCTTTCAACTATGAAGTATTTATTGTTTGGTTCTTAGATTTTACTAATACGTTCTGTAATTTGGTGTACATATGCATTCGATTGTCCTCACTTGTGTTGTCTTTAACTACACTACCAGCAACTATTGAGTAAAAGAGCATATACAAAGTTATTTACTGAAACCCGGGTCCAGGGTTTCCTGTTGACCACCTTCAACCACCATCTTATCTCAACATAGTGCACGCAGTGTCGAGCCACATTCCAACTTGATCTATAGCATTCGATCGGCACTAAAAATGACTTGACACTCATGACATTGATCAATCAATTGTGATTGATAATCTAGAATTCTGTTGTATTCATATGCCTAATGTTGTCTTCTGATATTCGTCTACTCAATGAAATACAATATAATAGGAGGAGTAACCCTAATTAATTGGTAACGCATGGTCTGCATTGCAATCTCTTCTATATAATATTCATCAATGTTCTCTCAGTTCTGTCATTGATGATAATCACTGTAATCAACTCCATTATATTAAACATGGATAGTTACTAAGAATAGAATTGACGGAGTGTGTTTCGTCTGAAGGCGACAATATCGAGAGAATCCTCACGAGATTCCCATATATACAAAGTGAATTGTATTTCAATTATTGTTTTTTTGTTGTTGATTGTTTTAGGCATGATTGTTGGTGCAATGTGTGCAGTAACTGGTGTTCTAACAATTTCATTACCAGTTCCTGTCATCGTATCAAATTTCTCAATGTTTTATTCCCATACATTGGCTCGATCAAAATTGCCAAAAAAACGAAGACGTATATTACCAGTTGAAGCAATTCGCCCAAAACATAAATCAAATGTAATTGGAAGTGGTACAGGGCATGGAATAATGCATCATTGTAGTGGTTATACAAGTGATACAATTAATTTAAGTAATTTAGCCAAAGGTATTGTACCTAATATTTCACAACCTATTGCTAAAGCTAAATACTCAGGTAAGATATGGATGAACTGATAAGAGTCATTATTGAAAACGTAGTTTATATGTATTTTATTTATTTATTTATTTAAACACATATATATTGGTACAAAAGGGCACCAGGTACATACGCGCCACACAAAATAATGAAAGTAGGAAGAGAAGGGATGAAAAGATAATGCGGACTGAAATGTACAACCAGAAGATTCTTTCAGTTAGGAAAGTTAGAACCATTCTTTATGTAGAAAGTAAAAGAAGGTTACAGCAGGATCGCCACTGGCTTCTATTCTGAGCCATATCTGATAACGTCTCTAGCCACTGTGTTGCACCATCTCTCGGACCGCAGCCAGGGAGTCGTGAAGGACCAACGGGAGCTAGCCCTTTGCAGCTTTCTTTCATACCACGACACCATGTCATACACTGACCTCCTCTCCGCTTTTTCCAACCAGTCCCAGGGTTGGCAAATAATGCACGACGTGGAAGTCTCTGGGATGACATTCGTAAAACATGTCCAAGCCACCGAAGTCAGTGTTTCAAGATGGTGACACCAATTGAATTATCGTCTCTGCGCCCGAACACACGATGCCAAACCTCTGCATTACTAACATTGTGTTGCCACTGAATGTCAGCAATCCTTCGGAGACAACGATGATCGAACACAGAGAGACGTCTAACATCCTCAACTCGGAGAGGCCAGGTTTCACAAGCATAGAGCAGAACTGCTCTCACCGACGCGTTGTAGATCCGACCTTTTACAGCCAGACTAACATCACGAAGGCGCCAAAGATGGCCCAGATTGACATAAGCCGATCTGGCTTTCCTTATACGAGCATCAATCTCATCACTCACGCCACCAACAGCACTTATATAGCTACCTAGATACACGAACTTCTCAACTACTTCGATCTCCTCACCATCCAGGGTGAGTACAGGATTAGAATCCTGCCAGTCTTGTAGAAGTACTTTGCACTTGGAGGGTGCGAAGCACATGCCGTACCTGCGGACACTGATTGCCAACTGATTAAGTGCTGATTGCATGCCTTGGGCATTATCGCACAGTAAGACAATATCATCCGCATACTCAAGGTCGAGAAGTCGTTCTCCAGGTAACATATCCACACCGCCATTACTTACATCCATCAGAGCTGTTTCCAAGATGTCGTCGATGGCAAAGTTGAAGAGGAATGGTGAGATCAGGCAACCCTGCCTAACCCCACTGCTCGAATGGAACAAGGGAGAAAGGTGGTTGTATGCCTTCACTCTGCCTGAGGTGTTCGTATACAGGGACTTTAAGATGTTAATGAACTTCTCAGGCACACCCTTCTTCAATAGACAATCCCAGAGAACAGTCCTGTCCAACGAATCGAAGGCCGCCCTGATATCAAGAAACACTACGATTGTTGGCCTGCGATAAGTATGACGGTGTTCTAACATTTGGCGGAGGGTGAAGATGTGATCAATGCATCCTCGACCAGAACGAAAACCAGCCTGCTCCTCGCGAGTCAATCGTTATCGGGTTTTAAACAACCCACGAAGAATGATAGAAGCCAAAAGTTTGGACGCAATCGAAAGTAGACTTATCCCCCGATAGTTATTGCAGGAACAACGTGAACCCTTTTTAAAGATAGGGACAACTATTGACTCATTCCAAGATGTTGGAACACTTTCTTGTTTATATGACTTTATAACTATGAATATTAGTTCTAACACGAGACTTTCCTGGTTTTAATTCTTCATCAGTGTCCATTCATGAATAGTATGCACGTGGTCGAATTCAGAAAATAGCTCATTTCTTAAAATGAACATGAAAAGAAGAATAGTTAGTTCCCAATAATCTATGATGGCTAGTTCAAAGAAATTGCATATATAGAGGATTATAAGCGTACTAGAGGTTTTAATAGTTCAGATCACGAATCAATTGAAGCTAGACCATCATGCAAAACCTGGAAGAATTGAACGGCCATCTCGTCCTAATAAGAACTACTTAGCAGTGCTCTTCCACGATCCCACCTCGCTAGATAATAATTCATGACGTATCAGTCTCGCGCGCTAGCGCTCAACCTCTAGATCACTGAACCGGCCGACATCTAACAGTGTTAATGTCCAACTTCAACGGATCCACGAAATTGAGCGCAAACATCCACTATTGTATTCAGTGAGTTACTATCTCACAACAGACCTGGTTGAACTCCATTGATTACGGCTTCTCACTAGAATTTCAGGAAATACCTGCTGAAGCCAGTCACTAGTGAACATGTGTTGATGAACATTAGAAGATATTTTATGGATATTATAATAATTTCAATAGTTGAGATAATGAATCACTTGTAGCTAGACCACCATGGAAAACCTATAAGCACTGGACGGCCGTTTCGTCCTATTTTGGGACTCCTCATTGACAGTGTGCATCCACGATCCTGCCTCTGGAGATTATTTTTGAAGCCTAATATTTAAACAAGCAGGCGATCAGTTTAGAAATTAACATTGACCTAATTTATCAGCCTGTTAGAAACACTAGACGATTTCATAGGAAAATATTCATAAGCTGGGACGAAGATCAAAATGCTTTGATCAACCAACACTCAACAGAACGTTCCAAAAGATGCAATATATAGGGTGCACTGATTGGATAATTCCAGATTTTGTTATTCACCACAGAATGTGTTTAGATGATTCTAGAGTATTAGGATCACAAAATAATTAAACTATAACTAGGCTCATCGGCTCGAAGAATACAATAACAATGGTAGTTAACTAATAAAGTTAAACGTTCTAGATTTTTTTTGGATGATAAACAGAGGTGATTGTCACTTTACAAAGTTTCTAATAATAATCTTCAGTTGTGTAAACTCGAAGTTTTTGGTGATGTCATCGTTCAGAAGGATGATGAAAGCTCCACGACCAAACCATCCAGCTCAGAAAACAAAACTCTATCAAAATCATCCACCTGAGCTACAAATCTCGACCACTGTGTGTATACAAAAACTACAGAAACTGGTTAATTTGTCTCAGTTCTGTGCTAGTGAGCAATTTGATAAAATCATAGCTACAATTTATACGTTTGATTCGTCCTAAACATGTCAAAATGTTTCTAGGTAAACCTCAATGGTAATGAGAGTAGTAACGTGTATGAAGGTCCTTAATGAATTGGCCGGGTTTAAAAATTTTACTTTTAATTATATACTACTAAATTATTATTTAAGTAGGCTAGCTACAAAACTTTTTTTTTACAGATAATTTTTCACATATTAAAGAAAATTATCAAAATCGACGAAAATATTCCAATTCAAATGAATTCCCTTTAAATGAACAATATAAATATGCTTATGCAATACATACCAGACGTGCAGCAGTAATAGATGCATCAAATTCATCTTTGGAACAAATGAATGATGATGATAATGATTGTGAATCACTTGGTAAATCTTTAAAATCTGAATTACAATATACTGAGAGATTACGAAAAAGTTGTAAGTTGAAGATATCTTACCTAAATACTTGTTTGAAAACTTACTTAGGGATATAAACTGCTTAAACTAGAAGTGAAGTCAATAACTAACTCAAAGTATTGACTGAATATACCTATGACTTGTGATTCACATAACCCTAGCTGTAAGGTTATCGTACTCAATAGATCATAAATAATACATCATGTTGATGAATCTCATTCAGCTTTAAACCTAATTTTGAACTTCTCTTAAGGTTACTTGAAACGATATATATTATTAGATCAAGTATACCGTAATATCAGGTCAATCATACTAGTAGTCATATTGTAATTTTAATCCGTAGACTTTAATGACCATTTACACAAATGGAAAAACGATTAATAATGGTTGAATTTTTGAGTCAATGTAAGCTAGAGTACCATTGAAATCCTGAAACCACTGAACAGCCGTTTGATTCTGGTAGTGGAATGCTTAGTAGTGCATATACGTGACCCCGCACGCGGGACTCGAACCGAGGACCTTCGGTCTCCCGGGCGAATGCCTAACCTCTAGATCACTGAACCGGCATCCGGCTGTATTGTCTTCAGTTAATAACTGGCGAGGGCTTCATTGGTTACTATGACATGACCAATGAATAATGTTTCGTCTCAACACTTTACCCAAATATAATAGACTAAGGAAACTTTTAAATGCATTGACCTACAGAATAGCTCTATTGATAGCTAATGTTAAATGAGACAAAACTGTATCCATCGTTCATTGAATTAAATCTGACGTATGAATTCAAATTCACTAAACTCTATGTTCAATGATGCAGTTTGATGACTTGTTCAATGTATATCATATCCACTTCCAACGTCTTCTCCTGATTTCCTTTTCAGTTAGAAGCTGAGTTGTTCTCTTCTTTAGTAGACTGTTACTGGTGGTGTTCGATCAACACATCGAGTATCTTGTGTAGACAAATGTTTATAGATACTTGTACCTTCTTCACGATGGATGTAGTAGTTCTCTACGTTTCATCTTCATGCAATACAAATGTCTTGATGTTCGCATTGAGGATTCTGACTTTGGTGTTGGTTAACAATTGTTTTCAGTTCCATATGTTTTCCAATTGTAGGAATACTGTCTTTGCTTTTTCAATCCTTGGCTTTACATCTGCATCAGATCCTTATTGTTCATCGATGATGCTTCCTATTTACGTGAAGGTTTCCACCTCTCTCGCAGTTTCTCCATCGAATGTGATTAGGTTTATGTTCTCAGTATTGTATATGAGGATCTTGTTTTTTTCTTGTGGACTTTGAGGCCTACTGATGAAGTGATTTCTGCTACACTGGCTGTTTTAAACTGCATCTGTTGAAGTTTTTGGGATAGAAGGTTGAAGTCATCTGCTAAGTTCAAATCTAACTGACTTCGAGGTGTCCATTTTATTCTGTGCTTCTCCTCAGATGTCGAGGTCTTCATAATTGAGTCAACTACCAAAAGAAGGAGAAGTAAGGAGAGTAAGCAGCATTGTCTGACTCCGGTCCTTACTTCGAATGCATCTTTCAACTGTCCTCCATGCAAAACTCTGCAATGCAGTCCGTCGTATGAATTCTGTATAATGTGCACCATAGTGTCGAAGAAGGTTCAACAAGGTGCTCCAATCCTTTCTGTAGAACGCCTTCACATAGTCAATGAAGTTGATGTATAGTGGTGAGTCTCACTCAACTAATCGTTCAACAATGATCCGTAGTGTCACGATTTGGTCTGTGCATCACCAATCCTTATGGAAATAATTGCTCAATGTTTCTTTGTTATTCTACCTTGAACATCCGCCTTTACAACTGAACAACAATGGAGAGATAGAAGGACGTGATCTATTTCATTTATCTAAATCTCAGAATTGTAAACAACAAATTGATTACGTATGATGTTGTGAACCACACTCAAAGTGCGAACGATAATGATGCTACTAAGTTTCTAAGACCTACTCCTATGTAAAATAGTTAATACAAAGGCATAGTTCATAGTTATTGTGAAAATTCTAATCGTTGTATATACATTGAGATTCATAGAAACTCCCATAAATGAATAAAAAACCCATGCGTTCGTAAGACATTTGAACACAATTATTCCTTCACTTTAACTAAATACCTAATCAAACTAGGCGTTTGAAAAGAATGGTACTGGGTTCGATTACTGGAGTGAATACCAACTCTGAGATCCAGATACATCCAGCTGAAGAGTCCTAACTAGGATGAAACGTGTGTCCATTGCGATTTCATTGCTATCCATTATCCATCTTTGCTTATAATACTAGATTTGTAGCATTTATAATTAAATAATCAAGCCCACATATGCCCTGGTACGGCCGAGAGTGAGAAGACTCAGCTCTCCCTCTCTAAATGCTCTCACATGGCCAGGCGTATAAAGCCTCTGCCAGGGAAGTCCTACTCACTTCCTTCTCGTGGCATTATTGTTGTTTACGAAGTTGAAAGGATGAAAAGCGAATGTCCAGCGCGTTAACTGGGTTGTTGGACACGGCGATTCCACCTAGGGGAGTTGGAAAACCCTCATTCCAAACCAATGGTGCACATGGACTCCAGTATCCTGACGGAACAAAGGATGTATGAATCAATCGTTGGTCACCGGCTACCATGGGACTGCATCTCCTCACGATACTCCCCTGGTTTATGGATCAGATCTTAAGGTCAAAGGCTACGGGTGTGGCCCCTGATCGGTTTGGGCAGCTTGGCAGTATCATAGCCCTCACAGAAATTATATGAAATTTGTGTGGCGCATATGTATCTGGTGCCCTTTTGTACCAATATTTATGTTTTTAAATAAATAAATAAATGAATTTGGGTGACCGAAAAATGGAAGTACGCAAACCACAGTTATGTATGTATGCAAAATTTAATTAAAATGAGACTGAGTATAAATGAGTGAGTGCGTGTTGACCTAATCAAAAAGATTAACCTTACTATTTTGATCTGAAATTCATGGATACATGTGATTAGATACAATCACTTATTGTGATGATAATCACAAAATGGGTTTAAGTTAGGTTATATTAATAAGTGTAATTGAAGAAGTTGCTACTATCAAACATCATAGATGTAAATAAATTTGATAGATTAAACAAACTATTGTAAGCCGGTTGGTTGGAGGTGATCGACAGGAAACTCAGGGCCCAAGTTTCGTGCAACTTGGCACTCGTCAGCAAGGTGTACCTGTAATCTTAAGGGTACTTGTGCTCCCTGACGGATTCAATCCCGTGTCACTCAGCTTCACAGTCAGAGACGTTACCACTGAGCTATTCGGGCCGTGACCTACCACCTGTAGGACTGAGATGTAATCACAATTGATTGATCACTGGGTGGTGATCAATGTCATGCATGTTAAGTCCTTTTTAGTCCTGATCGTATGCTATCGATTGTAAATATACATTTTATGTTTTAAAAAAGAAAGATGTTCTACAATGTTGACGGTATCAAAAGTTGACAAGGTTAACTACACGTGATTACGTAATGAACAAAAACACGGATATTACGTAACAACAAAAGTGAATTAAGTTCAATAGGTCCAAGTAAAGTTACTAACTTTGAAAAAATCATCGATGAATAAGAAGAATCAGATGTAGATTTGCAGGTAAATAACTGTCAGTCAATATCAAAAAGTTACAATATTCAATACGAACGTCAAGACAGTTCTACTGTATGGAGATGAAACGTGAAGAACTACTACTATTATCATCAAAAATTACGGATATTGTCTACACAATATACTTAATGTCTGTTGATTGGAAATCATCAACGACAACCTACTACGGGGAAGAACAAACCGACTACCAGTTGAGGAGGAAATCAGGAAAATATGTTGGATATGGATATGTTATACACTGAAGAAATCATCAAACTGCATCATGACTTAAGCCCTAACTTGAAATGGTGATGGGAAATGGAAAAGAAGAAGACTAAATAATACACTTCTACGAGAATCGGAAGCAGATATGACAATGATGAATAGCAGGTGTAAACAATTAGGAAGCGTCGGTCATGAAAGAGTTGTTTGGAGAATGTTCATTAGTGGCCTATGCTTCTTCATCAGATGTAACAGGCATAAGTAAGCAAATAACTTTGAAGACAATCAAAATAAAACAATATGATGACGTCATTAGTTAGAAAAATGCAGTGATACAACGAAGGAATATCTGTCACTCAACCAAAACAACATAAACAATTATCTTCTTTTTAAACACATAAATCAGACTGACAACTCTTGATAGTAACAATTGAAGCTTATCTATTTGATAATCAATTTAAGACATTTCATAGTGTCTAATTGATCTCTTATATAGAATAGATACTTGGCAAGTGAATTGAATTCCTATTGCTACGTAACTGATTGACTGATTGATTAATTGGAAGCAAATTATATTCTGTTTTTATAAGATATCAGTATGTCATTTGATTGACTGAATTTATTATAGTCTAATGACGTTTAAGAGTTCCTACTTATTATGTTAGTCAATTAGTGATCTACTTTAAACTATACTAAACCATGACTAATGGAGATTTAAAAAAAGAGTCATATATGAAACAATTATTGTCAATAGCATTGAATAATTGCTTTACTACTATATTGAACATTGTAGTTAATTTGATTAGTTGAGATCATGAGTCGATTAAAGCTAGATCACCATGGAAAACATGGAAGAACTGGATGGAAGTTTCATAGTGACTAGTATTACCGATGGTTGGAAGAGTGTTAGGGGCAGCCGAATCAAAACGTTTTATCAATCCTTGAAGTCATTAACTTCTAGTTTGAGCTATGTTGGGAGATTTAGACTACTTGGTTGGGATCCGCGTGACTATTGTAACCAATGGTTAGAGACTCTTTTTGACATGGCTCAGAATCGATCACAATCGCTTGAGTGTATAGACCCTTTATCTTCCCCTAAACCTTGTCATTAAAATTGCTTCATATCTTTCTTCCTGTGCTGTATCCTTATATACAACCTTTCTTCTATATATTACCACCACTTAATTAACCACATCTATAAATTCGGTGTTCATCATGTTGTGCCAATGAGATATGGAAACTTGGACCGATGAATATATGTGCCTAGTCCTACGCTGTAGCTGACTGACTGACCTAGTACAGGACTCCTCAGCAATGCGCATCCGCGATCCCGCCTCATGAGATTCAAACCCAGAATCTATCAGTCTCGCGTGCGAGCGCTTAACCTCTAGACCACTGAGCCTTCATCAAAAGGTGTTAATGTCTAAGTTCAACCGATCCACGAAATTGATTGACACATACATCAATGTCTTTAGTGAGTTACTATCTCACAACTGACCGGGTTGAACTCTACTGGTCAGTGCTTCTCACTAAAACTCCAGGAACTAACTTTTAAAGCCAGTCACCAGTGAGCATATGTTGATTAATAATAATTATAGTTAAGTTTAAAATTGTACCATTGAAATTGAACCCTGTAGTTTTATTGATTGAATGTTCACTGAAAGATCTAGAAGTCCTAGATTCAATCAAGGATATTTGTACAGAAACTATTCAACTAAAACTTATTAACTAAACTAGTCATATTCATGTTCCCTTTATTATGAGCTTTATTTTGACCCATAGACTGTTATTATACGATTTCCCGCTCTTGAGTTATCCCTAGTCTATTAATTACTGCCTCCCACATTCACAGTCACGTTTGGCCAAATGTTGTTATTTTCTATTTTGTGGTACGTCTTGGTCTGTATGATTGATACTTAAACCCAGTATGTTTGGAATACATGATTCATATCGCACAGTCTGAGATTTGCATTCTGAAGTAATCACACAGGGTTAGGCATGAATAAGGATCGTTAAGGACTCTAGACTGCTCGTACAGATTTCATATGTCATTCGTCCGATTAATAAATCGCTGCTCTCTAATAGGCGGGTTACAGGATAATAACAATCGCCGGCATAATTTATAACACTTCTTTAAGCAAAGTAAACTTTATTCATTCTCAATTATGTATCATCATTACTTAACTGATAGTGTTTTTTTATTTTATTCTAATGAATTAGCTACGACAAACTCTAGTGGACATCATATCAATTCAATCCATACATCACGACGAATCATAGATAATAACTATCATCGGAAACCAAGTCATTTATCATATCCTATAGAATATCAATCTAATCATAATTCTTCTTCAGTTCTTCCATATGAAACACCAACACCACCACAGCAACAACAACAACATCGACGACGACGACAACAACAACAACAACAAAGTGATTCTTTAATAACTTATAGTAGTAAAACAGATTTATATCTTTCATCCATAACTTGTCATTCTGAATTATTACCTCAATCACCATCTATGTTTGATGAACAATTAAATATACCAAATGTGGATACCACCACCACCACCAACACCACCACCACTACTACTACTACTACTACTACTAATAGTAATGATAGTAATACAGATATTACAACATACAGTACAATTCATACTCATACAAAGAGTATGAATTTATTACCAAGTCCATGGATTGGCATATCATCATCCTCCACAAATGATCCAAACAATGAACAAGATGATCTAATAAGTTAAAAGTAAAGAAGAAGAAGATTTCAATGGATGATGATGATGATGATGACCAGTATTATAGAATAGCCTTCCAATTTTGATCTCTTATTATGATCCAATATATATCTTATTACTGATCTCATTTATATTAGTAATCAGTTATAAAAAATCTTTAATTTATGTATAAATCTTTATATAAGTATTCATTGTATAGGTAGTGGGGGGTATGTATCTTTAAATTGTAACCATCCATATATTTTACATAATAAAATATTACATTTACAAGAAATGAGTTATCATTGATGTGAAGTCGATTTTTAGTGGGATAGTTTGTAGATGGGAGTCGAGTGATGATTGAATATGATCACCACGACGATGAGATTAGGCGCCAGATAACAAATTGGATCCCTCGATAGGTCAAAAACCAAAAGGCTGTTATTGGTAAAAATAAGATATATTTATTGGCGATCTCGTGATATACTCATACGATGAACTACAGTGCAAAGTCGTGCATGGAGGACAGTTAACAGATGCATTTCCAGTAGGGACTAGAGTTAGACATGGTTGTCTACTTTCCCCCTCCTCTTTCTTCTGGTGATTGATTGGATTATGAAGACTTTGACATCTGAGGGGAAGCATGCAATACAATGGAAATCTGTGAACCAATTAGAAGATTTGAACTTCGCTGATGACCCAGCCCTCCTATCTCATATACATGAACAAATACAGACGAAGACAACTAATGTAGCAGCAGCCTCTGTATCAATAGGCCTCAACATTCACAAAGGAAGAAGCAAGATTCTCAAATACAACACAGAGAACACCAATCCAGTCACACATGATGGAGAAACTATGGAAGAGGTAGAAGCATTCACGTACCTGGGGAGCATCGTTGATAAACAAGGAGGATCGGATTGGAAAATCAAGGGCAGCATTTCTACAACTGAAGAACTCAAAACAATTGGCAACTAATTTCAAAGTGAGAATCTTCAATACGAACGTCACGACATTCCTATTGTATGGAGCTGAAACTTGGAGAACTACTACATCATTCGGCAAGAAGATGCAAGTATATATAAACAGTTGTCTATGCAAAATACTCAACATTCACTGACCGGATACTATCAGCAACAGCGTTTTATGGGAGAGAACAAACAAGCTTCCAGCTGAAGAGGAAATTAAAGAAAGACGTTGGAAGTGGATAGGATATACATTAAGGAAATCACTAAACTGCATCACGAGGCAAGCGCTAACATAGAATCCGGAAGGGAAGTCGAAAAGAGGAATATCAAAGAACATATTACGTCGGGAAATAGAAGCAGATATGAAAAGGATGAATTTTAACTAGAAAGAACTGGAAAGGATTGCCCAGGGCAGAGTTCGATGGATAATGCTGGTGAGCAGTCTATGCTCCTCCACGAAGGCTAACAGGCGTAAGTAAGTAAGATCTTGTGGTATCGAAAGAACACCGAGACATGCCAAAGAGTACAGGCAAAATGGCACAGTGTAAGAGCATTCGCACGATTAAAATATACAACAGAACAAAATGTCATTTTGATACAGTTAATCAAGACGAGTACAGTAAAACAATCATTAGTACAATTTTCAATAATAATTTTCAAAAGATTTCTTCAATAAGATACTAATATTCTCATGTATGGAGTGTAGTTAGTTAGTTAGTTAGTTAGTTCTTATTATTATCAGTAAGGATTTGTTAGAATTGCTTAGTTTCATTGAAATCGTGGGTCGGTTTAAGTTAGGCCACCATTGGAAACCTGAAAGCGTTAATCCTGATATGGTTTATGATTTCTATGAAATTCAATAATTCCCATAACTGCTTACTGACAGTTATCATGAGTTCACTAGTGGCCAACTTTGTGAGGAGATTTCTGGGATTTTATCAACAATCTTCGACTAGGGAAGTTGAACTGAGACAGGTATGATGCAGATATCCACGAAAGATAATGTTAGATGGTCGAGCAAAGTCGTAAAATGATTGAAGTTAGATACAGTTGAATTTCGGTTCAATAGTTCAGACATTCTTGAGCAAAACTGAAGGTCCTGGATTCAATTTCCGCGTATAGGGTCGTGGATGTTTACTGGTGTGAAATCCCATACGAAGATAAAACGGTCATCCAGTCCTATCAGGTTTTTAATGGTGGTTTAACATAGATTGGTTTATGATTTCAATGATTTCATTATTATTAAATGCTTCATTCAATCTTATGTGTTTAGTACATTAAGTGCGAGGCCATAAACGACAGACCATCGTTCAATAAGAGATAGGAACTCATTCATTTCAAGTTGATGTGATGAGATTGAAATCGGTATACATGAATTGAGATCGTCCGGATATTTCAGAAAAGTGTTTTTTATGGAAGATGGAAGATTACGCAGATAGAAGAGAAAGGTAGAGAGAGAACAGCAGCACTTTATGGAACACTTTCATCAGTTAATAGAGATGTTGAACAGTTTACTCTAAACAAAGTGTATTGTTCTCTTTCATAAGGACAGGAATACAGCCAGTTCGTTACCCAGCTGCTAGTGTTGACGATGACAAACTTGTTAAGTAGTTATTGTCCTGCATTAGAGTAAAGGGCAAAAATATAATCTAGAAATTCTGAAAACTATTATATGATGCAGAACAACGGCAGCGTCTAAGGTAATTCTTTTGCGTTTGCAAGCAACGTGATATAAAGTGAAAGTAACAATAATAAATAAATTTTTGTTATATCACAATGATTTTTGTAGTTTGAATCATGAGTCAATTGAAGCTAGACCACCATGGAAAATCTGGAAGCACTCGACGACCGTTTCGTCCTATTATGGGACTTCTCAGCAGTGCACATCCACGATCCCGCACCCGTCCAATGCTTCCAGGTTTTCCATGATGGTCTAGCTTCAATAAACTCATGATTTCAACTATGAAGGTACTGAAATATCCACAAAAACCTTTTCTGATATTCCAATGAGTAGAAAAATTGTATTTCCAACGTTTCGTAACTCGATATAATCCACTTCCTCAGAGTAAACAAATAACCGACATTAAATTAGTACAAGTTTAAATAGTATAAAGGAAACAATACAGAATATATATTAGTACAATCAAAATCATAATAGATTCACTTGGTATTGTTTACTTGAATCTTTCCATTGTTGTTTAGGACTCCAGTTGATCAGCCTCTTATTGGCATATGTGCTTACTGTGCGTATTTCCTCGATATAGCCCTAATTCACAAGTATTAAAAGCTTGAATGGATAGTGGCTAGCAGTTGAATCCAGGACGTGCGTTATGTTCTCCTTGGGATTCGTCAAATCAATGTGCCTACATCACATATGCTAATAACAGACTGATTAATTCCAGTCCTAAATATCAATTGGAAGACTCAAACAAACAATTCCAAATGAGTTTAAACTTGATCACATTGCATAAGCTATTGGCTACCAGGAATCAGTATTTAATTGGATAAAATAATGGCGTTTGAATCATAAGGTGAAAATCGAGTGAAAATCAACTCTGAGATGCAGGTACAACCAGCTGACGAGCCCCGAATAGAACGATGTGGGTTGCGTCCTCGATTCCACCGCTAGCCATTATCCATATATGCTTACAATTTATTACTCTATTTTCATGTCATTTTTAATCACTCATACAAACAAGTTTGTTTATCATTCAGACAGTCACAATATAAATGCATGTTGCATTTTGTGTGTGTGTGTGTGTGTGTAAGCTTTATTAATTTACTCAGAATCACATGCTAATGTTTCGATTATTGGACGCATCTTGACGATATTCATGTGCATGTTTATATATAAGTATGACACCTTCATATGACACTGTAATTTATCAGGTATAGTACCTTTTTCTCACTACCTCTTATTACCATTATACACGTATCACTTATGTGTTACTTTTCAAAAACATACATTAAAAAAAGTGCTATTTCATACCAGGAGTCCATGTAGTGTCAGTTGATATGCAAAGCCTATATACCTTATTCTAGAATCAGGACAAGCCACATTTGGAATAGGCATCATTTCTCTATGACAGGTTTTCTGGAATCGACATTGATTGTTTCAGGTTTGTTGAGATGTCATCATCTAGTTCGTTTAGATAGATTGTTCAAAAATCTATACCGAAAAGAGAGAGTGGTAGGATTAAACTATACTGCCGAGCCAATCAGAAGCTTTCGCGAGTTTCCAAGGTCATGGCGCTAAGTTCGGTATCTGATGCTTACGTACGGAGGATTTTATGGAAGACGTGATAATTTAGCGTCTACTATAAAAGTGATCATAAGATTTTGGCGCGAAATTCAATTATCCATTTGGATAAATAGAGTTTTGGCATTATAGCTGATGTCAGCTCGTGAAGAAAACCCTAAGTATAATTCCTAGCCTTAATCATGAACTGTAAATCATAATTTGAATTCTTCACACAGGTTTATAACCCTCATTTGGTCTTAGTTATTATTTGACACTCTCAGAGTCACTCTAGCGTCGCTTAAAGGTCGTCATAAATTATAGTCTCACCCTTAACCCGAAACCTTAACTCTAACCCTAAACCGTAAACCATACCAATATACTAACATTATTGAAGATATGTGGTTGAGGCTAAAAGAATTTTTGAGACCTTATCATGGTTTCAGAGGTCGACTACTATGGAGCCATATGGATGTGTTCTTGTACCGTATGCACTATGATTTTAGAACTTCTGAACCTCTATCTGACCTTGAGAAGTTTTTGACCCATGTAAAAGAAGTGTTTCCACTTTAATTCTTTGGTTTTGTAAAAATATATTTTTACTGTATACTGTCTTCTGATTGGCTAATATTTCTCAAGGTCATTCAAGATTCGTTCAAAGGTCGACAGTATAGTTTAATCCTACCGATCGTGACTCATTCTCCAATTCATGTTCACGAGCAGGCAAGGATAAAGCCCCTTTGAGTAAGACCTATGTAACTAGCTTTACAGGAGCAGTTGAAATGATATATACACACGGAAGAGCCTATCTTCGTTAATGTTCTTTAGTTTATCTACTTCACTATCTACATTCCAGGTTTTCGATGGTAGTCTAACTTCAATTGACTCATGATATCAACTTTGAAATATACTGAAATTTCCACAAATCCCCTTCTGATCTACATTAATGTTAGAACATAATAGTCTGATTCTTTGGCTAATAAAATTTAACCAAATTTAAAAAGAATACTCATTTTCATCGCTCTGTAAATTGTGGTTAGCGTTTCTTAGCGAAGTAAACACCGGTGTCAGGCAAGGTTGCTTAC